ATGTTTTTCCATTTGTTAACATTTTCAGCTATTTCTTTCCTTAGAGTTTCATAGTTCTCTTTATAGAGATCTTTCACATCCTTTGTTAGGTATACTCCCAAATATTTCATCTTCTTTGGTACTACTTTAAACGGGATGGAGTCCTTGACTGCTTCATTCTTGCTGCTTGTTATTGATCTGTTCAGGATTGTGTTCTAATAAAATTTTATGGATACTGGAGAAAAGGAGAGGCTTTTTCTGAGATCACACAAATCTCACATTTCTCTGAATCTTAGGAGCCCTTCACCCCACCTCTCTTTGTGAGCAGTGAGGAGGAAGAAAGGGGAACAAATGCCAGTTGAGGCATAAATAGATCAGAAGTGAAAATGCTGCAGCAGAAATACAAAGTAAGGAAGGGATGTAAGATGCAAGTTTCCTTTCAAGAGATTCCTAGGGATGCCCTTGAACTCCCTAGGTAAATCCCCAGTTCAATTTGTTACTCCAGGGAAGCCCACTGAAAAGAATCATGCATTGTACTTTTTTTCCCAATGCATTTTAACTTTTTATTGCTCCAAATGATCCTTTTAATTCTCTATTGAGACAGTTTTTATAAAGAAAGTGGTCGACTTGATCAAGGTCACAAAACAAAATCAAATGGGAAATTCTAACACTAATTTTCCTCCATCCCAGGAAGTAACAACTCACATGAAATACATTTTATGCAGAACATGATTAAAGGGATTGCTCAGAAACTGTAGTTTCCTCTGTCATGGATGAAAACTTTCTGGGCAGTTTGAAAAAGATTGAATGCCACGGATAGTTAGGTGTTGTTGAAGCTGGCTCAGGAGGATTCCCAGAGCCAAGCAAATCATTGAATTGTCTGCCTTCCTTTACAGTGGAAAATGAAGATGAAAATTCCAGCTTGGTATTTTTTTCTCTAACAGCCATCAGCAAACTCTGGGTTTCTGCACTCAAATCACTTACTCCAATTCTGAAGAAATAAAAGAGGGAGAATTCTGTTAATAATGAGGAAAGAATGGAGGGGGAGAAGGGAACAGGGGTGGTGGTGGTACACCTTTGGGGAGCAGAACACTATTATGGAAGGGTCTTTATCTGACACAAGCAAGCAATGTAACCTGGTTCTTTGTACCCTCAATGAATCCCCAACAATAAAAAAATAATAATAATGCATGTTCTATTATACCTTTGTCCCATCAATGAAGACCTCCCCATATAGTATCCTTTGGGCATTCTTGGGGAGAGGGTTAATCATACCACCTCTGAAGAAAAAGGGAAATCTGCTTTAGACTAACTAAACTAAGATAGAGGTTTTTCCATTAAGCATTGGAATAAGAGATCCATTGAGAGAACTGGTCAAAGTTGAATTAGTAATGACTGTTGCTATGTACTCAGAACTTTACAGGCATATCTCACTACATCCTCACATCAGATAATGTTAGTAATGACTTTATGAATTCTAACATGGAAAGACAGAATTTTCAACTACAATCTGTTTACATAGCTAGAGAACAAAGGCACACCTGCACATATGTCAGAGCCCATACTCATAACATCTGATATAGTTTATTTTATTTGTTTGTTTGTTTTAGACAGCATCTCACTCTATTGCCTCAGTTAGAGTGTTGTGGCCTCAGCAGAGCTCATGTAGCTTCAAACTCCTGGGCTCAAGCTATCCTCCTGCCTGAGCCTCATTAGCTGAGATTACAGGCATGCTCTACCATACCTGGCTAGTTTTGATTTTTAGTAGAGACAGGGTCTTCCTCTTGCTCAAGCTGGTCTCAAACTCCTATGCTCAAGAGTTCCACCTGCCTCAGCCTCCCAAAGTGTAGAGATTACAGGCCTGAGCCATTGCACCCAGCTGACATTTGATATAGTTTCTTCAAATTAAGAAAGAAGAGTCATAGTAACTTTTACTTATTTCATGTCTTTTCTGTGAGTGTCCTAATTAGCATGTAGGTACAAATACCTATGTAACCTGAAATATGATCATTTCTTGACTTTACTTTCATTAAGCACCTACAACAATGAAGGGGAAAATATCACTGCCATTATTGAGCTAATATTCTCATAAAAGGAGTTGGACAAAAAACAGCCTAAATACATTATATGGTCCATTAAAAAATAAGAGCCCTGGGAGAAAACGAGAATAGGGATTTGGAAAGTGGCCATGTTTGAAGGGGTTTTTCTACACATCTGAAAGTTTGACTCGTTATCTGTATTTAGCATGAAGTATCATTTGGAGAGGATAAGGAAAAATGAACTCAGGAGGATCCCAAGCACATTGACTCTGTATTCTAATTTAATCTTCAAGAACTCTGAGATAAATATTCCAATTTTTTTCATTTGTGAAAATTGAAGGTCAAGTAGAAAATGAGCTGCCTGCACTGGAACAATGGATAAATCCCAGATCTGTATATTTGTCTCTAAATGAGCACTCAGTAACTTGAATATTGCTTTTCTTTAAGAAAATAAAGCAGGTAAAAATGGAATACTAGACACTGGAAGAAGTTTCTAAATCTGTGAACAAAGTGTGACCAGAAATTGAGGTAGGCAGCTTCTAAGAAGCCTTCCCGCGAAGTCCTCAACATGTGTCAGTCACAACCTGAATAATTCTCTTCTTGGGTTTAAGTGGGACTTGTTATGTGCCTTTAACCAGTGGGCAAAAATGAAATGTCACTTCCTCATTGACAAGTTTATACAAAATTGTCACATCCGGCCAGATGCAGTGGCTCGCACCTGTAATCCTAGCACTTGGGGAGTCTGAGGCAGGAGGATCTCTTCAGCTCAGGCATTCAAGACAAGCCTGAGAGTGAAACCCCATGACTACTAAAAATAGAAAACCCAACCAGGTATTGTGGTGGGAGCCTGTAGTTCCAGCTATTTGGGAGGCTCAGGCAAGAGGATCAATTGAGCCTAGGAGTTTGAGGTTGCTGTGAGCTATGATGCCATGGCACTCTAACCAGGGTGACAAAGTGAGACTGCCTCAAAAGAATAAAAATAAAAAATAATTTATAACTTCAGCCTTGCTCACAAACATACTCTATTGACTTGAAAATTTGATAAAGATGGATCTGTCTGGCAAGGAGCTGAGGGTATCTTCTAGTGAACAGCAATCTAGGCACAAGGACGCTCAGCCCAACATCCCTGCAGGAACTGAATTCTGCCAATAAGCTGTGATCTTAGGAGCAGATTTCCTCCTTGTCCAGATGAACCTCCAGAATATGACCCCAAGCCCTAGATGCAGCCTTGCAAGAGATCCTGAAGACAATGAGACTCACACAGACTGTGGAGTAAGGGGTGTGTGAGTGAGTATACGTGTGTGTGTTAAAGCCACAGCAAAATAATTGCCCACAGGGTGGCGGTGGTGGCAGCAGTGATCCTTAGCCTTTGGCTTTACCCTGGCCCTAGGCTGAACTCCTGTGCAATTTATCTGACATTTTATTTCATTGTCTCCCACCCCCTCAGAAACCACTGGGCATCCCCTGCCCTTCACCCATTTGGCCAGGAGCAAGTAAGCCATGGCCTTGATTAAACTTTATCTCTCTTCTCCCTTCGCACTGCAGCCCTGGGGGGGAAAGAGAGTGGGTACTACTTATGGTTTAGTTTTTGCTTATTTTTTTAGTTCTATCTGGAATCAGAAAGCCGTGGATTTGGGCAAATGTCCTTATGTCCTTCCCTTATTCATCCCTGGTCTGGCACCCCCCTACTAACACCAAGCACCAGCACCCTTCCCTATTTCTCTCCTCAAACCCCTTTAGATGGGAACAAAAGAGGAGAAGAGGGGAGAGACCTGTCCCTCATCAGGTACTAAGGAGGACTCTGTCCTCGTGGACTTCATCCTTTCCTGTGGGCTTTCTTCCCTGACAAATTTGTTAAAAATAAAACCTGAATAAAACTACAAGCCCCATAAAAATAAATAAATATGTGGGTTACCTCCTGAGTTTATGGTAATTTGTTACATGGCAATAGTTCACTAACACAGAAAGGAAAAGAATCTTTACTTTACGAGAAGGAATTTGATGGGTTTGGAATGACTGATGAGATAGTAAACTAAGGATTAGCTGTTTCCTTTCTCTGGTGATGAAAGGCCACTGGGGCAAGTAAGAAAATAGAAAATATTTAAAGATACAGAAAAAAATTTCCTATAAAGCACAAGTAATACTAACTATCCCCTTTTACTCACCAATGACATACTCGGCTTTAAGACCTCAAGACATCTTCTCAATCTCCCAACAGGGACAACTATCCTTTTTAGGATCTGGGTTTTTATGTTTGTTTTCTTTTTGGTATTTGACACTGGTGATCCAGCGATCTGCATCTCATGTACCCTAGATGATCGCATGTCCCCACCACCAAGGAAAACAGCATCCAACTTACCCGAGCAACTCAAGTACACATGATGGGTGGCCCAAGCCCTGAATAAGTTTCATAATTCCCTCATCACCCAGATTATTTTCTATCAGGTTGAGCTTTTTCAGTGTTTTGCTGCTGCTAAAAACAGAGGCAAGAGTCGTGCAGCAGGCGCTGGTTAACATGCAGCCCTCCAGCCTGCAACAGAGAGACCCACAGGTGAGACCAGCCTGCCCTAGAGAAAGACCAGAGCAGGCAGATCAGATGAATGTGAGCCAAACACTTCCCAAACACCACCCTCCACAAGTTTCACACAAAAGAGTCACCATGGAATAGGGCAGCATCTCAAATTGTAGACTAAAAAGAGACAATAAGAAAGTGGCTTCAAGGGAGATGGGAGGTCCAGAAGTCTAGAGGACCCATAGAATGTGAGTATGAAGTAAGCTAGGTAACCAGTGAACAACAGAAAGAGACAATCAATGACCAATAGAAAAGGGCACTACTGCCTGGAGGTGCAAAGAGGCCAATGAAAGACGTGCAGCCAATTTCAAATGGAGAATTCAATACTCCCGCAGGCCTTTGTCCCTGTCTCTCTCACCTTTTCTCCTTTACCAGAAGGACCCACTTCCAACTTTCTTTAGAAATGCTCTAAACTTTCTCTTTGTTCTTCCTAAATAAAATCTCTCTTTGTTACCTAAAACTTGTGCAGGTAACATTTAATTCCTATTCACACTGCCTGTGCTGCTCCAGTTCCATTTTCAGTTTCCACTCACTTTTGCTTTCAGTTACTCTTGTGCCTCAGTTGAACTTTCTAGCTCAGCCAAGTAATCAAGTCAGGTCAACTGGGTTCAGGGAACCACAAGCCCCGACCCCAACACAGACCATGACATCTGAGATTGTATTTCCTAGCCCATATTCTTTTCTACCCATCTTATCTTCCAAGCAGGGAGCTCTCTCCCCCAGTACCTACCCGACAGTCTCAAGCTTACAGTCTTGATGCTGCAGAGCATTGCAGAGCGACTCCACCCCTGCATCCCCTAGATTATTGTACCCAAGTTCCAGCCTCCGCAGATGCACATTGGAAATAAGAGAAGAGGCGATATAATGGCAGACTTCATTGTTGAAAAAACAACCCGTCAGCCTGCAAGAAAAACATAAACGGAAGCTAGAGTCATGACTGCCTGTCTCAAAAGCTTTATGTTATGAAGTGCTAATTGTTCTTGAACTATCTCCTAGCATGTCTTGTTACAGGAACAAGAGACATGCTAACGACTCTAGAACATTTATTAACAACATGGCAGGCATTACCAATGATCTTAACATGTATTAACCCACAAGGTTGCAAGGCTCTGAGCATCCTGATTTGACAAAGAAAAAAACTAATGCTAGAATGTTTTAAACATTTTAGTCCTAGGACACTGATAACTAGAAGTCCTATTCCTGTCCTATTTGAGGCAAACTCTCCTGACATTCATTCTTCTCTCTTTCAATATTTATGTAAAGACTAATGTTATTTAGGAGAGCTAAATGAGCTGCTTTTATGATAAAAGTAATTATACCAGCTCGGCGCCTGTGGCTCAAGCAGCTAAGGTGCCAACCACATACACCTGAGCTGGTGGGTTTGAATCCAGCCTGGGCCCGCCAAACAACAAAGACAGCTGCAACCAAAAAAAATAGCCAGGCGTTGTGGCAGGTGCCTGTAGTCTCAGCTTCGTGGGAGGCTGAGGCAAGAGAATTGCTTAAGCCTAGGAGTTTGAGGTTGCTGTGAGCTGTGATGTCACAGCACTCTACCCAGGGTGACAGCTTGAGGCTCTGTCTAAAAATAAAAAAAAAAAAGTAATTATACCATAGGACTCTTCCCACTCAGAGTAGCCCAAGTCTTTACAGCTCCATGTTCTCCCTGGTTTTCTCCATTCACATCTTCTATGTCTAATTCTGCAGTTCTACTTCTTTACCCCACCATGTGGCCTCATGCCTCCTCTTGACCATGGCAGGCCATGTCGATGCTAAAACGCCTTCACAATGGCTGTTGATTCTACTTGGAAGCCCCACTCTGGTGATGTACATAGATCTTCCTCCAAGTCTTTGCTCAGTGAAGTTGGTTACCTTGACTAACCTTGCCTCAGGATGGGCAAATCACCTTCTGCACCCCGATCTACTTTAAATTGGAAAACAGTTTCCATAGCAATTATTGTCTGACGCAGGATTGAGAAACTTTCTCTGCAATAGACCAGATAATAAATATTTTAGGCTTTATAGGCCACACAGTCTCTGTCACAACTACTCAGCTTTGCCATTACAGCCCAAAAGTGTCCATATAAACATATAAATGCCTGTGTTCCAATAAAACTACATTTAGGATATTCCCAGAATTTTCTATTTTGCCACTTACTGGCCTATTCTCAAATTAAAGTAAGCAAAAACACGGATTTAAGCTATAACTACAAGGCAGAAAGAAATTCAACATAAGTGAGATACATTTTTAAAAATGAAGTGAGATACAGTGGTATCAACTATGTTCTTACATAGTCCATTAGGTGCATCAGTTCTGGAGCTCATAAGCTACAGTGCTACCATTTTTTAAAGAGATGATTTCATGACCTGTTTTTTGTTGTTGTTGTTGTTGTTTGTTTGTTTGTTTTTGGAGACACAGTCTCACTCTGTGCCCTGGGTAGAATGCTATGGCACCATAGCTCACAGCAACCTCAAACTCTTGGTCTGAAGTGATCCTTCTGCCTCACCCTCCCAAGTAGCTGGGACCACAGATTTACACCACAATGCCTGGCTAGTTTTTCTATTTTTAGAAGAGATGGAGTCTCACTCTTGCTCAGTCTGGTCTAAAACTGAGCTTAGGCAATCCACCAGCCTTGGACCCAACTTAAATCAGCTTATCAGAGAAACATGTCCATGGCCATACTCAGGGGCTGAATGTGGAAGTCTCCTCTAGATTGGGGATGCTCCCAACATACCCCCTTCCAATACAGCTGTTTCCCAACAAAGATACTCCTGTGACTCCCTTCCCCAGGAGTGTGTGAGCAGGTTGGAGCTGCATTTTGGGGTCCCTTCTTCCACAGCACTTCTGCACATTATGTCCAGTGAGGTTGGCACAGGTGCCAACTCTAGGTGAGGAGGGTATGAGGGATTTTGCAGGCCCTGATCCTTCTCAGCTAAGCAGATTCATCAATAAATCTTACTGTGTTTTTAGGTTGCCTATTGTTGGGAACACATGTTCCCACACACTTTATCACCCTTGACACCATCACTGAAACCATTTTTTTGAGACAGTCTCACTCTGTCTCTCAGGCTAGAGTGTCATGACCTCAGCTTAACTCACAGCAACCTCAAACTCCTGGGCTCACTTAAACTTCCTGCCTCAGCCTCCCAAGTAGTTGAGACTATAGGCACCTGCCCCAGTACCCAGCTATTTTTACAGATAGGGTCTCACTATTGCTCAGGCTCGTCTCAAACTCCTAATCTCAAGCGATCCTCCCACCTCTGCCTCCCAGAGTGCTGGGATGACAGGTGTGACCCACTGTGCCTGGCCACCATCATTAAAGTTTTGTTTCTGTTGACACCATCAGCATGCAAACCTCCTTACACAGCAGGGATGCTGTCACCCATGAGAACCATAGAAAGACTTACTCCAGCTCCTGTAAATGACATTCTGGGAGTGACAAGGGAAAAGTCAAAGCCAACACTGCACGGTTTTGTAGGCAATTTACAGATAGGTCTAGATGTTTCAGAGTTGTACTGAACATAAGGACTCTCGCAATATAGGCGACACAGCGTTCTGTAAGGCAGCAGAAGTACAACCTATATGGGGCCACAGAAACAGGGGAAGGATTAATGATGCTACAGTTGCCTAAAAAGGGGTCACGTAACACCCTACCACCAAATCCACAAGCGCCTCTGTGCCTTCTGCTGCCACAACCTAACACACCTCTATCTCCTATGTCCTTCCTGGGAAATGGAGATTAAAAAGTACCCAGAATGGTACAGGGGAAAAAATACAGAACAGGAAATAAGTGGCAGGGCATCAGAAGAACCACCTAGCTCCCATGTCCACTAACTGGAGAATCTTTCAGAGATTACTTCCATAACCTGATTTCCTCATTGTTTGATAAAGCATATTTTTATCTGGGGGAGGGGAGGTTAAGTTGAATCCTAAAATTCTTTTCCATTTGAAAACTGTGATTCTCAAAAAGCTACCTTGCTGCTTACAAAGGAACATGGGAACTGTTGAAAATGGACAAAAAAGTAAAGATAGAATGCATCTCTGTGGACCCAATTCCAGACCTGCAAACCCATTTTATAGCATTCAATTTATCTTCAGGTTTAATTTATTGCTAATATAAGTTGAAATTTTGCTCAATTCCGATCTATATTTCTAGTCTCTAATAGCTAAAAAAAAAAAAAAAAAAAAAAAATTGTCAATAACCACACCGGATCTTGATTTCTGCATGTGGGCAGAAGGTAAACTGGACTGGGGTTGGCAATGCAAGTTCCCCACTCTTATGTAGGGAGTGGGGCTGTTGTGGTCCAGGAAATGCACTCATAATATCCTTATCACTATATTTAACTTCCTCTCCAAAGTCTTAAGTTTGCTAATGTTGTGACCTTGTTCTCCAAATTGGGGAATACAAGTTGGCGGTAAAAACTCCAATGAACCTAAATGCATTTTTGCCAACATTGTGCTTCTAACTAGCAATCAATGTAGAATGTTGACCCAGACCTGTCCCACTCCAAATACATTTTTAGCGGCTGCACTTTGCTATACTTTTTTCCTCCCTCATTCTTTGACCAAATGCCCAGACATTCAAGCCCAAGCATGAACTTCTCTGTGGTAGGCTTGTGTAAGTCCCCTTACCCCAGTGACTCAAGGACACATTCTGGGTGGAACAGAGCATCACACAGTATTTTCACCCCATCATTCTTCAGGGGATTGTTGGATAAGGTCAGTTTTTTTAGCTTCTTGCTGCTGATGAGGATGGAGGCAATTTCTGGGCACGCACTAGCTTGCAAGTCACAGCGCATCAAGCTGTAAGGAGAACTCAGAGATGAAATAAGCCTACCCCATTTTCTAAGCCATGCCCGTTTTAAATAAAATCAGTCCCAACCAAATGAGAAGATACTTTACCTTGATTAGGAAATAAATGGATCCCTCTGCTCTTAATCTCACTGTATACCAATTCTCAGAGTTCAAATTAGGGTGAGGGGTGCACCTTTGGGAAGGGCAGTGATCAAAAAGGTCTCCATCCTTTTGCATCTGTCTCCATGTGGCCCCCCGTGGCATGTTTCAGAACCACAGAGGCCAGGCATTAGACAGGCCACCTAACAGAGTAATACAGGTGCCACCACATGTACAAGCCTGGTCAAGACCCTCAATTTTCCACCACATTTACAGTGACCTGTGAAGGTTTTCCACGTGGCCCATGGTGCCCCATATGACCTGGCTCCTAATTTGCTTTCTAACTTTATCTCTTAATTTTCTATTCATTGTTCACTCTGTCCTGTCCTCCCTGATCATCTTGTTCACAAGTCCACCAAGCACATTCTGTTTTGTTTGCTTGCTTGCTTGTTTCCTTGTTTTGGGGACAGAGTCTCACTGTAGCCCAGGCTAGACTGCCATGATGTCATCATAGCTCACAGCAACCTCAAACTCCTGGGCTCAAAAGCACTTTGGGAGGTGGAGGCAAATGGATCACTTGAGCTCAAGAGTTCGAGATCAGCTCCAGCAACTCTTTCACTAAAAATAGCCAGGTGTTGTGGTGGGTGCCTGTAATCACAGGTACATGGGATGCTAAGGCAAGAGGCAAAAGAATCACTTGAGCCCAAGAGTTTGAGGTTCCTGTGAGCTAGTAAGCCAAGGCACTCCAACGAGGGCAACAGAGTGAGACTCTGTCAAGAGAAAGAAAGAAAGGAAGAAAGGAAGAGAAAAGAGAAGAGAAGAGAGAAGAGAAAAGAAAAGATTCTCTCGATACTAAGTTGAAACTAGTAGAGGAACACCTACAGGTCCACACAAGAGAAAAATACGATTAAATTCAAGAAGGAAGGGAGAAGAGGGTTCAGTAAGTTTCCACCTAACAGGCACAACATAGGGGTTTACAGCACACCTCCAGGGTGAAGGGCTCAACTACAACTTGAACTTCAAATGCAAACAGTGTAACCTCATCATATGTACCCTCATATTAATCAGAAATAAAAAATATAGAGATTTTAAATTTAGTTATTGAGGAACACTATTTAATAATACCTTGGATGTGTAAATTAATTTTTCAATTGTAAGTTTCATGCAATCAAAATAAAGGTCAAATACCCAGATGATCAAAAATCATTTTACAACAAAGACATTTGCACAAGAATGTTTACTGCAGCCCAATTCATAATTACCAAGTCATGGAAGCAGCCCAAGTGCCCAACAACCCATGAATGGATTAACAAATTGTGGTATATGTATACCATGGAATATTATGCAGCCATAAAAAGACAGAAACTTTACCTCTTTTATGTTTACATGGGTGGAGCTGGATCATATTCTTCTTGGTAAAGTATCTCAAGAATGGAAGAAAAAATATCCAATGTACTCAGTACTATGAAACCAACATATAATCGCCCACACTTTCATACAAATGATAAAACACAATTATAGCCCAGAAAAGAGAAAAGAGGAGGGTAAGGGGAGGGGAGGGTTTGGCTGGGTGTAGGGAGAGTAATTGGTGGGACCTCATCTACTGTGCATATTGCAAGGGTACATGTCAAACATATTAAGAGTACAAATGTCTTAACACAATAATAAGTGAGGCAAAGGCTATCTTAACCAGTTTGATGTAAGCATTCCAAATTGCATATAAAATCACCACATTGTACCCCATAAATGCAGTAATATACACAGTTATGATCTAATTAAAAAATTTTAAAAATAAAGATATACTCTCATAAAAAAAAAGACATTTACCATCAGAATAGTGATGTTCTGTGAAGATAGAATTTATACCAGATTTTGATGTTTTCATACCAAAAAAGAATATAAAATCTCATTAATGGTTTTTTATTAAATATTATGTATTGGTATTAATTTTGTACGTTGGGTTAAGGTTTAATTTTAAAACATTTGGCTATTTCCTTTCATTTTTTAAATGTGACTCCTTGAAAATTTAAAACTACTGTGGCTTACATAGCATTTCCCTCAGACAGTGTTTCTTCAGGGTTTGACCAGGGTGCTGTGTACCTGAGGATGAACCAGAGAACTAGATCATTAGAGAAATTAGGTCATAGGAGTGAGAAGCCAAGTGATAGAAATGATGGATGTAGCAGTTGAGATTAATAAAAAGGACAGGAATAATGCTGGTGATAGAGAAATAAACCATGTGCTAACAATCTTTAAGAAGGAATGACATCAAGGACAGAGGAGGTGGCATTATCTGCAGAGCACCTCTGCACACTAGTACCTGACCATTCCCCTCACTGAGTGTCAGGCCAAGTAGGGACTCACCTCAGGTGTTGTATGTTGCACGTGGGACTGCTCAGGGCCTCACACAGCAGGGAAAACATCTTCGGGGAAATCGGAATGCAATTCACATTCAGGAAGGTCAGGTTCTGGTTACAAGCCATTGACATGAACAAGTCATTGAAATTAGAGCTGACAGAAACATAGGACAACCTGCAGAAGACAAAAGTCATGGGAACTGGCTCGGCGCCTGTGGCTCAAGTGGCTAAGGTGCCAGCCACATACACCTAAGGT